AAAAGAGAGGATGCGGTTTATACTGTGAAAGTCCGCTGTCACTATAAGCTGATTTACGCACAAGCCGCCATCCCTGGTTCACCATGGCATGGAGCACTCGGCGGATATCGTCGAAAACGTCCGACAAATTGTTGTATGACTTAAGTAACGACTCTGTAGGAAGACAAATTTACCAGGGCCTTAATTTGCATCCTCAAACCTTTGTCAGGCAACTCGCAACCTGTACGCCTCTGCATCATTTACTGTCCTATTAACAACTTTTCTTGATCAGATCGGCAATCTAGACTTGAGAAACGTTTGCAACGAAACGACATGATCGTTCTATATGATAAAGGGACATTTTCCCTTTTCTCATAGGTAGGCCTGAACGCACGTTTCCAAAGTTCCATCAGCAATTCGATCTGGTTAAATGTGGAGGTTGATATTTCTGACAAATTATTTCAAACACATTTGTGCTCTGTCCGATTGTGCAGTTTGGTAGAAGAAGCAATGAGTTAATTTGACGCTCAGCACATTTACGCAGGACCATCGTCCATTGTTTAAAGATGGAATTGTGTTATCCCGACCAGGATATTTACAGCATTAACTGCTTTCGTTGTGTCAGAATGGGTTATCTCCAGCGTTGGTTGGCCTGTCACACTGTCAAAGTCTTCAGAAACCTTTGAGAGATCTGTTTTGCAGCAAAACGTGATGTTTACATTTGTGGGTTGAAAGCACTTTCAAGGGTTCAGCACGCTAACCGACACCAGTATTTAAAAGGTAAGTGCAGACTTTATCTGGGAACAAGCAATGTAGTCCTCACGATACCCTTTAGAAGCAAACAAAACTTTTCTTATTGCGGTATTTGACGTGAATCTAAAAGGAAGGGATTTTGCGGTTTCTGATCGCATTTGCTAGCTGCGGACGTGAAAACCTATGTTGAGAGTAAGATGAAGATAAATTTTGCTGCCTACATTAAAGGACCGGGTTAACGCGTGCGATGAAGCAAAAGATCAAAACTGGGACCTTATAATGCAGGGAAACTGATGAGTTTAAAATTTACTGATTTTACCTATTAAGTTATGGAGAATACCATACTAACACAAACGACAACGGGGTTGGTTTGTTTGCTTAAAGAGGAAGAAGAGCAAAGCGGATTGAAGAATTACCCATGTCAAACCATTTTTTCGGAAATTATCATGGGAATTGCTCTGTCCTAAGCGTTCGCATGCACATCGACAAAGACAAGAGAGACCGCAGTGACCATTTCTGACTTATTAGCCGTCATCAGCCGGTCAGAACCAACCCCAAGTGTGGATCATTTGAGATTCGAACCGGGGATCTTTGGTCATGGAGTTTGACACTCTACCATTGCGTCACGGACCCGTTGTCGTGTGGGTTGTGATTGGGAATGCCAATCATGACAGACTGGTGCTCACTGATTAGGTTACGGACCATGCTCTTTCCGGTGTGCCTTGATGCTCATATTAAAACCCCTCCGGGGAGAGGCTAGTAGTAGAAGTCAATGAAATGCTATCAACAGTGACAAGGCAGACCGGAATGGCCATTTCTGACTTATTATCCGTCACCAGCCAGTCACACTCAACCTCATTGACTCGCTTTCTAGCACGTAAGTATTTTCGCGCAAAGTGAACCAAGCAGAAACACCTCAGCGAGTTACGGTGCCGCCCATAATGTCGTTCTACAGAACTCGGATTGTCGGTTCTTGCTCCTTCAAGAAAGGCTGAGAGTTCCTCGAGGCCACACACTCGGATGGATCGTGCATCAACCGACATATCGAGTTGGACGCCGCGTACAATCTCAAGGAGAAATGGAAAAGACGAAAACCAATCGGAACAGAATGACAGATAGCGGCTGCTCACGGGCGCAAACGCCAACAATTATTTATTTTCAAGTGCATTGACAGATGTTAACTGATGTCGGCACGTTCGCTCTCAGTATGCTTCCGACGACGACCTGGGGAATCAGCTTCTAAAAATTACGAAGTAAAATTCCTTTTCCCAAAGAACGCATTTGACCTCTATATATATATATATATATATATATATATATATATATATATATATATATATATATATATATATATATATATATATATATATATATATATATATATATATATATATATATATATATATATATATATATGGTAATGGTAGTATACCGTACTCCCGACCTAGATACTTGCTAAAAGCCCAGACACGTGTTTCGCCGATATTCTGCCGCTGCGTGACACAGCTGCGAGGGGTTCGGCTCTTCAGTGGGACCCCCAGCGTTCTCTAGCGGTTTCCGGTATATGAACTCCAGATAATATTCAGGTGAATAATTTCAGAAATTAATCAATGCAGAACTTGGAGTTAAATCTCCGGGACATGACTTTTTAGGGTCAGAACCGAAATTTCAATGAACATTTGAGTCGAATGGGCATTACGTGGTTATTCCACAGTAGTTGATTGTCTTCGACTCAAATGTTCATTGAAATTTCGGTTCTGACCCTAAAAAGTCATGTCCCGGAGATTTAACTCCAAGTTCTGCATTGATTAATTTCTGAAATTATTCACCTGATATATATATATATATATATATATATATATATCGCGTTCATCATCTCCCGAAGAAGACCAAGAAGAAGAGAGGGCGAATTCATGGACCATATTGTATTTGAACTGACGTTTCGGAAACTTCCTCGTTTCCATCATCAGAGTAGCGTAATTGTTGCACTTGCGGGTCTTGAGTTGTTCAGTCTTGCCGCTCGCCTCGTATTATAGCCGTGCTGGACACACGACTTTTGACCTGCCTGTTTGCCGCTGGCCGACTTAGACCTCTCCGGAGCTGACCGCTGACAGGCCTGCGTGACCTTTGTTCCCTTTGGGGTCG